AAGCTTCTGACTCTAGCTGCCCATGTCTTTAGTCTTGCCTGCCATAACTTGATAAGTGCTCCTTATCAACTTGACCCACAAAAGACTGTTATTCCAATGCTTTCTCCAATAGTACTCATGCCAAGTTTGAAGGGCACAGAGCAGTGGGTTACATCCAGGATGGTCAATGAGTCCACTAAATTTATTTTACTTGAAATAAATGACTTATTATATTTAGGTATTTTTGTTAACTTCTACAAACAGATACTCAAAGGGGGAAGATAGCATCTTGTATAAAGACAGTTTCCCAATCTACCCATTTGAATTGACTAAAACAATGGAATAAACAAGCCAGAAGTTTTGCAAACACTGAAAGGAGTGTGTTTGGAAAGGATGCGATGGTACAGCAGCTACTAGTTATACACACACACACACACACACACACACACACACACACACACATATATATGTATATGTATATATATGTATATGTATATATATGTATATATATGGGTATGTATATTACATATGTATACATATATATGTATGTATGTATCTTATACATATATCCTTATACTTATAAAACAAAAAAAGGAAGAATAATATTACAGCATGACATGATGTTGGCAAGTATGAGATTCTTCCTCCTGAATCCCCTGACTTATTAGCCTGTACTTTAGGGTATCTGAGAACACTTTCAAGAGGGGGAAAAAGAAAGAAAAAAAAGGCACTTAACGAAGACAAAGGCCTGAACTGAGCGTGTTTTAGAGGAATAAGCATTTTACCAGAGCTAAGAAATGATTTACAGAGAGTTAAACTTTTCCCCTTAAATTTTATAAAATAAAATTGCAGAACATGTTTGTAATCATTTACCTACTACTGCATTTTTCTTCTGCTTATTACAAAAGCAAAAAACATAACAGAACAATCATACATGCACAAGAGAAAGTAAAAGTGCCCCTTTTGAGAACATATGGTCAGCAGAAACTATAGTGCTGAAGCACAAGGGAAAGTTCTCAAGTTTGGCCTGATTATAGATTTTTCTCACTCTTCTATTTCTAATTTAAAACAAAGCAAAACAAAACATCAACGAACCAAAAAGGCAAACATAAATTCAAAACCTAAGTGATAATAAAAAGAATACAGGGACCAACCAGTGTGCTTTTACGGTACACTCCTAAAATAAAGTATCCTAACTCTATACATGGGTCAAGTTATATGACAAAACCTCCTAGAAATGAAGAACTGTAAATTAGATTAAAATCGACCAATACAGGCAAAGTTCATGTTACAAATGTAGCAGCAAATATGATAGATAACTGGAGTTCTAAGAGATGATCCCAAGGGACATAGAGTTCTCACAATCAATGGCAGTTTGATTAACAGCAGAATTTCCATTTCAGAAAACGTCTTGAACCAAGTAGAGGTGGAAAGGGGAGTGGTAAGGGCAACCGGAACAGACTTGACCTGTCTGCCCTTTCCAACCCTGGGTAGTAAACAATTTAGATCTGCTTTGGAGGGGGTGGGGTGAGGTGGGGTGGGTGGGTGGGGATCCTGGGTTAAAAATCTTTCCCAATAAGTTGTTTTCAAACAGGTGTCAAACCCACAGTATCCAAACATGTATGCGCCCGGTTCTTCCTCCTACCTCGGTGATGCAATACACCCTATTCAACTTCTAGGATATAAAAAAATGTAATTTGGGCTAACAACATCCATCAAAGGGGTGGCAGGCATGACAGAATGTACTAACACAATCCTCTGATTTCCTCAGAATATCGGGATTTTGTGACCTCAGATTAACTTCACTTCTTTTTCCAAAACGTTTTTCTTCAGGCTGTTTTAAAACCATGATTTCTTTTACACTTGGATTTGAGAAGCATGTGAGAAAGAATTAGAATTGAGTTATAGTGGAATTATTGCTTGCATTGACTTTGGAGGCTCTGAATGAGCTTGACACTTTGCTCCCAAACAGTCTCCAACTGAGGCTCAGCACTGCCATCTCTGAAGACAACTCTGCTGACCGTTATTGCTTGTGAATACTGAGGATTAACTTGTATGTACAGTAACAGCTTATACATCAGTGAAGGCAATTTAAAATACACGACAGTTGAAAACAAAACAGCTTAATTTTCCTGAATCAAGAATCCCGCTGAGTGGGACATAATTAAGTGTGCTGATTATTTTTGCATTGGGATGTTGCTAATGCTCTTCAGAAATACACATTGCTCTATATCCTTTCCAATTACTCACCGTTTTAAAAAATAACACAATTTGACTTTTAAGTGCAAAAATACAGTATGAGTCACAAGTCTCTGTGCTAAAAAATAACCAATTTATATGGTTGCATTTAGTAAGAAAAACTGTAAAGACAGGCACCCATAAAGTATGGACACCATTTTCAATGTTATGATCTAGAAAAGAAACAGTTCTGTATTTACATCTAGGAGCTCTCTGGTCATACTTATCTATTAAGAAATATAAAGATGTTTGTTTCATTTGTACAACATAAAAGGGTCGTCTTGATTGAAATGGACGAAAGTTAGTGAAAATGTGGTGGGGGGCTGGGGGGGGACCAGGTAGCAGTCCTCAAGGAATCAAGAGTGAAGAGAACAGAATATCATCTCCATATACATGGACTTTTCAGAGCCAAGAGCCTTCAGATAATTTTAATGGTTAGTTATAAAATAATACTTGGGGGAAGAATTGATAATCCTGTTCTTCTCTAATGACAACCAAGAATTGTCAGGGATCTTCACATAGCATGATTCAGAACTGATGGATTTAAGAAACCGAAATTATTCCCTGACTTACATTAGTAATGAATTTATATATAAATAAATCTTCATATGCACACAGATGAACACGTACACAATTATCAGCAGGAAGAGAGATTAGTATGCACTGTGACTTCTCTCCTGGTGTGGGAAGTAAAACAAAGGCTATTGCTTCCCAAAGGAAAACTCCCATAGAGTATTAGCAAAGACTTCTTTTTCCAAATTAGATAAAAGCAACAGGTATACTACACTCGAATAACTCAAGAATTGGGTAAACTTCCCTAATTTAAAAAACCAAACAACCTTTAATTAAACATATTTGATTCAAGTCAAGCCTCGCTGCAACATCCCAATATCCTTCCAACTGGGGTTGATACAACATTCTTATGTTTTACTGGTAAACTAAATTCTTAGGGGCAAGTAATTATATCAGTGATTCCTTTGAAATAATCCTTTCCCCTTACTGTAAAAAGTTCTTGGAACTAAAGCTTTCAGTTACTTATTAACTTGTTGCTATGAAGCAAGCCAATGTGACTTTGAAGTCAAAATATAGGTATGCAGATCTGAACAGATCCGTGGTAATTTATTCACAGTCCTATAGGCTATTTGGGACTTGTGCTTGTAAAAGGAAAAAAGGGCCAGGTTAATACACTTATTTGAAGAAATGTAAGGGTATAGGGTGACTTGTAATGAAAAAGGATGCAAATCTTGCTACTATCAATTTCATGCTGTTTTTTAGGTTAGTCTATTGTTATAAATGGATCAAGCTTACACCAATCATGGGTATAGTTTGAAAACATTCAGAAGCCTAAATAGGGAGAAAAGGAGACAAGACCAAAGGTGAGGGGAAAAAAAAAAAAATCAAATCAAATATATTCAAAAAGAACCATAAATTTCTCCCTTAACATCCTTTGTTGAGTATGTATTTGCATAAGGAAGCTATAAGAACTAAGCAGTTTTGTTATCCCGTTATCTGCAGCTTTACTCACATATCAATATTCTCAGTAAATATTAATAAAGCTTTAAGATCCCAAATGCTCCAAATCAATTTCACTACACTGGATATAGGGAGTAAAAATACACTGTGATTGTTATAAAAAATAATCCCTTATACACATAATGATCCTAATGTAATTCCTCCCTTTAAAATACTATCTTAAAAATTCCAAAAATATATATATGCCATTTGAATGACCAACGAAGAGGCATGTGTAGTACACACTCACGCCTGTCTCTGTCAACAATTAAGAATCACCTGAAGTACCACTAGCTACAAGACCAGGAGAAGTTGTGAACCGAGGTGCGGCTGGGGAAGTTTACAGTTCAGGGTGTTGGGCCTGCAGGGGCTAGGAGCACCGAAGTCGCAGCCCTACGTCAAAGATCCCCATTTCTGAAGAGTCACATTTTAACATCAAGAATGGAAGTAAGAATTAACCAGTCAATACCAGATGCACAAATCACCTGAAGGAGAGTTAAGTACCTGCTTCTGAATGGAAGATGAAATTGACCCTTTTACAAAAAGGGGACATCTAAGTTTGTCTGTTAAGAGCAACAGGCTCAATTTCTTCGCTTTTAAAAATCTTGATGATTTAATAATATGTATCACTGTGCTAAAATAACTTTCCTGAAACATCTTTAGTCCACTGATTTACATGGGGGGTTGCTACACACTGGAGAAGATTCAAGTTTGTTCAGGACTTGTGAGAGTACAGTATTTCCTCAGCTACTGTCTGGATCAAACACAGGGTCATTAATTTTGTTGTGTGGCAAATTTGCTGCATAGTCCACTCAGATAAACATGATTGTTACTCCTGACAAACTGGCCTAATTCCAGATAGACTGCCTTTTATTATGCGATTATGTCTACAAGTGTTCAGATCCAACCCCCAGGATGGATGGAGTTTACCCAAATCCTCAGATTCCTTCTTTCTCCCCCGGGGAAAAAAATCAAATTTGTACTTCTGTGGGTTTGACAACTGAGTCTCTTTCAAGTCAGTTAATATGGTCACTTTGTCTTTCTTTAGAGGAGACCACAGGTCACTAACTTTGCACAAAAGCATTTCTTCCTCCTGCACCTGGCTTGACTCAAGTAATGTTCTCTTTTCTTTTTTCCTCCTCACCACAGTGCTTGGGACGAGAGAATGTAAACATCGACAGAACAGCAGCCCTATGACCACATGAGTACTTTCCCATCAGGTAGATTCCATCAGCCAGCTGAGTGTCTCATCTCCATTGCTCGCTGGGAAGTCACTGAGATTTCCGTGGTAATTTAGTGTCCCCTTTACTTTGGCCTCCATCTGAGAAAAGAGATGTTTAATTGGGCTGTGTCGGTGTGTTATAAAAATACATATTAAAAGCAAACAAAGCAATGAGAACAATTAATGTTTAATTTCCACGCGAAATGACACTGCTAAAAAAGATAACCTTTAATAATTTACATGCTATGCATGGCATTACAGAGGTTGAGAAACATAAGATAACTCAACAAAAAAGATCCTCTTAAGTCAAATGGCTGTAGTTCGATTGGTTTTCAGCTGAAATACTATTATTATCCACCTCAGAACCCACTGTGTCAAATGCTATGAGGATCACAAAGGAACATAAAAGACATAATCCCCACCTTCAAGGAACCTACCACATCTTTTGATCCCTTTAGAAGACTAAGTCAATTTCATTTTCTTGCAAGTGAAATTAAATTCCTTGCCATGACATAGCATTTGATAATTAATTCTCGATTATTTATGTAAATAAATGGGATACACTGGTAGTGAAAAATCCAGCTGAGTCTTTGTTTTGGTCCTAACCTGGCAAAAGTTGTAAGTGATACGAAAGTCTGCTAACTGGGAACAACGGTTTCTAGTTTTACATGTGTGTTTTGTTTTGTTTTTTAATGTTCACTTATTTTTCAGAGAGAGAGGGAGGGAGGGAGGGAGGGAGAGAGAGAGAGAGAGAGAGAGAGAGAGAGTGCGAGCAGGGGAAGGGCAGAGAGAGAGGGAGATACAGAATCCGAAGCAGGCTGTAGGCTCTGAGCTGTCAGCACAGAACCTGACGCGGGGCTCGAACTCAAAACCATGAGATCATGACCTGAGTCAAAGTCAGACGCTCAACCGACTGAGCCACCCAGGTGCTCCTTACATATGGTTTTTAACTTTTAATTGGGAAAATGTTGATTATTGTATGTATTTATTTATACACTGATTTATTTCTTAAATTTTAGTTAGTTGATCACTCTATTTAAAATGGACAAGACTAGGGGCGCCTGGGTGGCGCAGTCGGTTAAGCGTCCGACTTCAGCCAGGTCACGATCTCGCGGTCCGTGAGTTCGAGTCCCGCGTTGGGCTCTGGGCTGATGGCTCGGAGCCTGGAGCCTGTTTCCGATTCTGTGTCTCCCTCTCTCTCTCTGCCCCTCCCCCGTTCATGCTCTGTCTCTCTCTGTCCCAAAAATAAATAAAAAACGTTGAAAAAATAAATAAATAAATAAAAATAAAATGGGCAAGACTAGAACCCAGTGACCTTAAGAGCCAACAAAATACAGAGAAAGTTTAACAAGGTACTGCCTTAGCAAGGACAATGAAGCCTCCCACTCCTAAGCCTGAGAGAAAAAGGCAGGGGGAGGCATGAATGGCAGAGACACACAGGTGAAAAGGAACAAATTGCCGTATTACAAGATCAACCTTAAGGCTGGAGGAGACCATATGTCACACTGCTAGGTTCATTCACGTGGTATCTAAATTACTCTGGTAAAACATAAAACAAAAAACTGCCTCTATTGAAGAAACTGCCTCTGTTGTATCAATGAGAGAGGATGATTGTTTCAAAAGCTGTATAAATAGGACACTATTAAAATAACTTTGGTGACAACATCTAAGGAATTGGTTTTTCCATTCATAATGAGATATTATGTACTTGTGTTTGCAGAGAGAATGATGTGACCTAAGGTATGATTAAATTCATAAAATGGCAAGGAAGGATTGTGCTCAAAGCAGCTTTGGGAAACTACAAAATAAAATACTCATATTAACTGGACTGTGAGATTGTCTAGACCAAGGTTTGGCCCAAGGGCCAAATGTGGCCCACCACTACTTTAAAAAGTTTTATAGGAACCCAGCCACACTCATGCTACATATTTATCTATGGCTGTTTTCGCACTAGAATGGCGGAGTTGAGTAGTTGTGATAGAGACTACATGGCCTGCAAAGCTGAAAATATTTACTGTTGAGGCCTTTACAGAAAAAGTTTGTATTATATATAAAATGAATATAGAGAAGTTATATTCATTCTCTCAAGGAGCTTGATCTTATGAAGCATGAGATCATGACCTGAGCTGAAACCAAGAGCCAGACACTTAACCAACTGAGCCACGCAGGTGTCCCTCAAAGATCATTTTATTTATTTTTTTAAGTTTATTTATTTATTTCTTTATTGAGAGAGAGAGAGAGGAAGAAAGAGAGGGACAGAGAAAATGAGCAGGGAAGGGGCAGAAAGAGACGGGGACAGAGGATCTGAAGCAGGCTCTGTGCTGACAGCAGAGAGCCCAACACAGGGCTCAAACTTACAAACTGTGAGATCACGACCTGAGCTGAAGTCGGATGCTTAACTGACTGAGCCACCCAGGTGCCCCTTCAAAGATCATGTTAAATGCAGTGGCCAAAAAGAACAGTGAGATCCCAGTCAACCTGCAAAGTTAAGAGGCCAGTTGAACACTTATTTCTGTTCAAAAGATCCTGAAAATGGCCTTCAAGAATAGTATCAGCAGTCTACTGAGGTCGACTGCTGTTGAAAGCAATAACCTAGAGGTCAATGTTATGTCCAATGTCCACTATCTAATTTCAGAGTGATCTAGTTGGGCTGCAAGTGTGTAACGCATACAGTTTGGAGGGTATTAACTGAATTACTGCTAAAAGGCAGAAAAGGTACCAAGTCAGACTTCCCAGATTTGTATCTCAGATCACTTACTACTGTATCATCTTGGGCAAGTTGCTTATCTCTAATTCAGTTTCCTGATCTATAACAATGGGGATTGTTACCAGCACACTCACAGGTGTTGTAAGGATTAAATTAGCTAATACATGTCAGTAGTCACAAGACTAACTGGCACTTAGTAAACCTTCAAAATGTGAACTATTGCAACTACTGGACGTGACTTTTGTACACTGTTTTATGAATCCTCTTCTTCGTTATCATTTCAATATAACAAATACCTTCAACATGTTTTCTTCAGGGGCGTATGGGTGGCTCGGTGGGTTCAATGTTCTACTCTTGGTTTCGGCTCAGGTCATGATCTCACGTTCCTGAGATCAAGCCCCATGCTGGGCACCGTGCTGGGTGTGGAACTTGCTTAAGATTCTCTCTGTTCCCCTCTCTTTGCCCCTCTCCCACTCGTGCTATTCTGCTCTCAAAAATTTTTTTTCTCCACATGTAACAAAAGGTCTCTTTACCGATTTCCTCTCCTTACAAGGAGTTTGTTGCTAATGAGGATTCAGTCATGTGAAATCTGTTTTTTCCAACTTTTGTCATCCCATTTAGTTTCCAGAGATGTTTAATCCAATCTATATAAATCTATATAAATATTATGAGATGAAAAAAATAGGTGGCTTTCTTACCATTGAATGTTTGCTGTAAATGTGTAGGCAGAGGTGAGTGGGAAAGTGTTGCTGCATGCTGAGCTCCTGGCTGTAAACCCTTTAGTAAATCTGGGAGAAAAACAGAATTGTCAGTGATCTTCTTCAATCTAACACTTAAGCACTCTTAGATAAAAAATGAAAATAGTTTAATTTATATAACGTTAAGCATAGCCCCTGATTTCAAAGTCCTCCTTAGAGTACATACATTGAAAAAATGTACATATATAAATACGTACATGCAAATAACTCAGCAAATTTGACTGCCTCATAAATTTCATTAAGACAGCAATGTGGTATAGATGGTTCATTTAAGAACTGTAAATAAATTCTGAGTCCACCAATTTGATTTATTCTATATAAATGAAATTAAACTGCATTTCTTAAAGAAAATTCTGTAATCTTCACTAACTCCAAATGGACTACTCTCAATCAGTATAAATTCATGAGTTTTCCCGTTCCGTCAAACTACGTAGGCAAGTAACTAAAAGAGCCCCACTTACTCTGAGTTAGGCTATGGTGGAAAGCGGCTGAGGTAGATCCCGAGGTGGTTGTCACTCCAGCTGTGTCCGTTCCAAAGCCAAGTAGCTCCAAGGGAAACTGGAAGGGCATGGTCACTGGAACAAGGCCACCCAGCATCCCAAAAGGAGTCACATTTTGATTTGTTACAGACAAAGGTGATGTCATGAGAGTCAGAGGTGAGGCATTAGCCAATAATGATGCTCCTGCTGTGGACTGCAGAAACCAGGGGTCAAAATACATAAGAAATCAAATCTTTAACCTGAATTGATTTATTGTATTTAATATCCTCATGGGCGCAAGACTGTGTCCTAACTCTACTCTAACAGAAACTTCATGAGACAGAAAATAAAGACCGAGGTGAAAAGTATATTTCTAAGAGCTACCATATTGGTTTTGGAAATAATTCTCTACTCAGCTCTTCATCACCAGTTTAGATTCCTTGACTTATTTTAATGTCTATATTAACATGTCTTTCTCACCTCAGACTTCTACTTTTGCTTCTAAACCCTAGATCTGAGCCACTCACTAGCCATTAATTTCATTCAATTTCAATATGATCTTTGAAAATGACTGGTAATTTCATTGTTTTACCACCTTCCTGACACAATCCCCATGGTTATTGTTCCAGACTAGGATTCTCTCAGAGCCCCTAATGTAATACCATCTGCTTTCATCATAAAGCCTTAAAGAAATGAGGCCATCCCAGATGTTCTTCCTCATCATTAGCCTTACCTGTCTCTTCTCCAAGCCTAACCATCTGACCATGCCATGAATCCCACCTATGCAGAACTTTCTGGTACAAATATCTAGTATTACGCCTTTCCCCATGTTTCCTCTGCTTTGTCACATACAGAATCCTCATGTTTTTGTTTTTTTGTTTTTGTTCTGTTTTGTTTATAACCACAGCTATCCCTGGCTCTTCCTCAACCCCTAGAAACAACCTGACTTATTTGTACTCCTTTTGTTATCAAATTTACTAAATGATACCCTCCATTTCCATATTATTTAGTTTCTCCTTAACCCCTGAAAGCTGGTTTCCATTTTCACTACTTTTCTCAACTTAAGACTCCTTAAGGTAAAAAGGTGTTTTAATACTCCTCTGCCTGGGCTTTGATGCCATGTTTATGAAAAACACATTTAAATCTGAAATATGCAAGCAGTAATTAGCTTTCACTGAGAAATTACTTAAATATACTTCATTAAGCTAATTTAATTCTTTGAACAATTTTCTATTCAGCAATAATCTGTCCCCATTTTGACTCTCTTTTCTATATGTACTTATTAACAAAAATTACAGTAAAATTTTTTCAGTATCAGATATTATTATAGTTTCTGCAACTGTGAATTTTCTTTTGTAGTCTTATCTTTACCGATTCTAAGTTTCCCTGGCCAAAAATTTTACGGTTCTAAATTTAGTCAACAAAACTGAATTCTTTGAATATTTTTTAGTCAGTAATCAATGTTAACTATTATCAGGTTTATCTCTGTGTTAACTACTCTTGCAGTAAACATTACTAATTAATAAAGGGGCTGATCTATTTCTTAGTTAATCCATGAGAAATCCATGTAAATGATCTCCCCATACTTATATGCCAATAACATAGATTGATACACCAAATGTTCCATGCCAGTGCTAAACAAAAAATGAAGAATATCCTCAAGAAGGCTTCAATTCTAGTTTTACAACTCTTTCTCCAACAGCCTTCCCTTCTCTTCTTTGTTAGCTCTCAAACTTACATCCATAGTTCTGACTTCGTCACAGTTTCAATCTTGTAACTCTAAAAGCTCAGTGAGGAATGTCACTTGGATATGGAACACTCATCAACCACAACTGAACTCATCAGCTCCTGCAATCATGCGACCCCGCCCTATTTGTCAACGGCTATCATTAATAGTCTCATTCTTTCTCAACACTCAGGCTTGAAACCTTAGTTTTTAGGCATCATAAAATAACAAGACAAGATGAATTCATTGTCAACATACTCATTCTTTTTCTTAAAAAAAACTTTTTTTTTAAACCACCAGTTCCTCCAACACTTCAGTACAAATCTCCATCATTTTTGCTTGGACTTGGCTATTTTTCTTATTTTCAGGTCTTTCCCTTACTGAGCCAACCATGATATACAAAATAGATACAATTTGAAAGAATTACTAAGTTAGAAATAACGCTTTGAAGCAATTTGGATTGAAGGGATCCTGCATCAATTTAAGAATAAGAGTTCTTTTTTAATCATAATTCTATTGTAATCCCAGGATAATATGGTGCACACACTCCAATACCGTTTGCCCCAAGTAAACCCCGTAGTAAGGAACATTACATACTGCTAATAAGGAGAACTCAAGCTTTTCTAGAGGAGGCTAACTGAAGTATTAAAATAGCTGGAAAGTGTAAATTAGAGCAACTTCCAAAATTAAGTAACTGAGCAATTGAAAATGATACCATGCCATAACTAACATTTTGTGCTTTCAAAAAACTTTGATATCCACTTTTGTTTCTAAAATTAAAATGAAACATCAGATTATCTTAATGTTACATGACATTTATAAATTTCTCTCTCTTATGAGATGGAGACCTTTCAAAAGTTGGGTATCCTATCGTTATGATTTGGAAGCATATAGGAGAAGTTGTCAACATAAAACAGGCAAATGTAAATCGGCAAAGTTCAGGATGATGCTCCATAATCAAAAATACTTCCATGACCTCCACATTTTATTTCCAGGAGAAAATATAAAAGAAAACCTTGCTCTTCCCGTGGTGGGCATTATA